CAAGAAGAAAAAATCCATTACTATTGAATGGCAAGAAAATGAAACCTCACTCTGTTTGGAAATATGATCATCAATCAAATTAGATCCTTATATAAGGTGGTATTTACCTTGACAACTGCACAGAAAATTAAATGATGGTCCTGACCAATAGGTTTCTAATAAATACCTAAGTTTTTAAAAATCTGACTAAATATAAGCCTCACTAGTAATACTGCGCTTTTATTTATTTTCTATAACTTATTCTGATACTCTGTCTTTGAATAGTCTGTCTTTGAATATTGAATTTGAATATTCCTTCTCAGCTCTTCCCATCTAGCACTCCTGGGATTCAAGCTCTGATGCATGAATTTTATGATATGGACAATCCTATGGGGAAGCCTGGCTCAGTCCTGACCCAATACTGGTCTCTTTTAAATGTATTTGAACAATTTCGGCTCGTGAATAAAAAGGCACAGCTACATCCACTGGAATGGTAAGATAGCCACAAATTTGAGTTGTGCAGTCCAAAAAGTCTTTTGTCTAAAGATTGATTTCAAAAAGCTTTGCCTACATTAAAGAAAGCAACAAAAAGACATTTCCCAAAAATTCATGCTCTGGAAAACGAGCTCCTTCAAACCTTGAAACCATAATGATTCTAGCGGTCTTGAAACACTGTAACAAAAATATATCCAACGGTTGTTCAAACCAACAGGACCTGACTCCACCATAAAGTAATGCTTAAAATTAAAAGTTTCATTCGATGATATATAACCCTGAATTGCAGGAGCATCTGACAGAATTAGGTGAGATTTGTTTTATGAACCATCAGTCAGTGTGGAGACTGAGAGGCTAAGAGTAGTTTGTGAGGTGTAACTTTATTCTGGGCAAAACCTGTCCAAATTTATAGATTTGTTCCGTCATTGGCAGGCACAAGATTATGACTTTTTATTATCAGATAGAATCTCAGAGGGAAACACTGCGCTGGGAGAAAAGTTTCTTGGCCTTCCATTTTTACTCCCACTGTGATGAAAACTGCTGTTAAGTGCCATAGAGTCACTCCCGACTCATAGCGACCCTATAGGACAGAGCAGAACTGCCCCGTAGGGTTTCCAAGAGGTGGCTGGTGGATTGGAACTGCCAACCTTTTGGTTAGCAGCCCAGCTCTTAACCACTGCACCACCAGGGCTTCATAATGAAAACTAGTAATCAGGCAATGAGAAGAAGAGTGGGAGAAATGAGACATATTAACACCTCCAGGAGTTGGTGAAAAGGGCAGGCCTAGGGTGATGTCTGCTTCTCTATTACGTGGATGAATTTAAGGGGGGAGTTGACTTTTCCACACTACGGAAGTAAACTTAAACCTCCTAGAGAGATGAAAGACTTAATGGAAATGCCATAACCATTTATGTCTCCAGCAATTACCCTCATGAAGGCCTTCAGTCTTGGCTAATGCTAACCTACTGTTGTTAACTGGATCCGCTGACAGATGGGCGGTGACTTCACATGAAGTGCATTGTCTGGGAACTGAACCCAGTTCTCCCACGTGGAAGGGGAGAATTCTACCACTGAATCACCACTGCCCCCAGTGCTAACCTATTATTGAGCTGTTGTCATTTTCTTCGGCCTCAGGAGACAGTGAGAACGGTTCTACAGCCAACTTCTTTTAAATATAATTTAAAAATACAAGTAATCAAATATTTGGAGAATTCTTAGGGCATCTCTCAGGATCCGAACTGACTTTAACTGCCACAACTTTATGAAGTTGGCCTTATTTCTTAAATACTTGGAAGTAGTAGGCCTGACAGT